CAAACAAGCAAGGCCAGGAGTGACGTCTGCTCTGAGTGTGCGTCACTGGATGGGTTTCAGGGATCACTGAGGGCAGAGGTTTTGCGTGTTTCTCTTTTTTATACATTTTTATTGATTTCAGAGAGGAAGGGAGAGATAGAAACATCCATGATGAGAGAGAATCATTGGTCAGCTGCCTCCTGCACGCCCCTAACTGGGGATGGAGCCCACAACCAGGGCATGTGCCCTGACCGGGAATCGAACCGTGACCTCCTGGGCGGTTTTGCCTGTTTTGTTCACGATTATATCCTCCTGACAGTGCCTGGCACAGTGTAGAGACTCAGTCAATACGTCAGAAGAATAAATGAAATGACTGCCGAACCCTCAGCTGAGTCTGGAGGAAGTGGAGGCAGAGTGGTGAGGCGACTGGCTCAGGACCGTGGGTTGAGTAATGGAGGAACCAGGATTTTACCTGGGTCCCCAGTTACGCACCAAGCGGCATATTTGTTTATCTTCACAGCGCCTTTCCTGGCACCGCCCAGCGCCGTTTCAAGGAAGTGCTCACTGGGCAGCTGTCAGTCTCTCAGGGTGGAGCTCAGCTTTGGAGCACATGGTGACTGAGCTGGGCAGAGGTACAGAGTTGGGCATTTCCTCCCAACAGGGCTGTGCTCTGACTGGCAATGCCTGCTCCAGAGCTGACCACTGGGCCACCGAGGCTTCATGGGGCCTGCATTGCAGTTCAGCTGTCCCACACTTGGAGTAATACGCACTGGGATGTGGACCCTATGTAGAATTGGCACCATAAGGGCATTGCTGGTAAAATAACAGACGCTCAGATTCAAGGTCAGGACTGAGGGTCCTAAAGGTTGGATTGGAGCAAAAGGGCACTGATCATAGTGGAGAGAATCTCAAAATTCAAGGTCAGATCAGAAGACAATAGCTGGTAGAATATCATTCAGAAGCCCTGGTTTGAGAATTGACCAGTGGTACACTGATAGGAAATAATTACCTAAGGCCCAGGCCAGAGAGGCTTCTGATGAAGTAAACACACAGATTGCAAGTCAGACAAAGGACATGGAACAGTTAATGGAGGCCTGGAATTGAGGCAAGACTTGAGTGGCATTGGTGGCAGAATGGTTAAGAGTTCCAGATCTGATGTTAAACCAGAGGCACAGTGATGATGGATAAATTAACAGAGGCCCAAATTTGACCAATAAGATTATTTTTATGATATGCTCATTATTTATTGAAGATGATTGTATTTATGTATTTATTTTTTAAAGTTTTTTTTTTTTTTTTTTTTTTTTAATGTTTTTTTTTTTTTTTTTTTTTTTAAATATGTTTTATTGATTTTTTACAGAGAGGAAGGGAGAGAGATAGAGAGTTAGAAACATCGATGAGAGAGAAACATCGATCAGCTGCCTCCTGCACATCCCCTACTGGGGATATGCCCGCAACCCAGGTACATGCCCTTGACCGGAATCGAACCTGGGACCCTTCAGTCCGCAGGCCGATGCTCTATCCACTGAGCCAAACCGGTTTTGGCTATTTTTTAAAGTTTTTAAAATTGGATTTGAGAGAGAGGGAAAGGGAGAGAGAGGGAGAGAGAGAGAGGGAGAGAGAGAGAGAAACATCAGTCATCAGCTGCCTCCTGCATGCCCCCTACTGGGAATCAAGCCTATACTGCAGACATGTGCCCTGACCGGGAATCGAACCAGCAACCTTTCAGTGCACAGGATGACGCCCAACCAACTGAGCCACACCAGCCAGGGCTGAAGATGATTTCAAAGCAGGATGTCAATCAACTCTGCCACCTCTGAATTTTACAATGAGAAAACCTCTAAAGTCATGTATAACAACATGTATAATCAGCCATGTTGAATCCAGACTCAATAAAGAACATGAAGAGTGTGAAGGAAAAAGTGTTAAAGAACAGTGAAGCCCTCCCAAATGATCTTGCCCATCCCTGACTTTCGATGGAACCCAGCATCCTTTTGGTGTTGCGAGCTGTGCAGAAGTTAACAGGGCAGGCCCGAACTGGTGTCCTTGGAAAGGTCTGCTTCAAGGTGAGCCTTTGGCTGGCATTTGGAAACTTCGACTTCAGAATGGGCCTCACTACTCTACCTATTCCTATAAGCACTGTGGTTTAAGCTGAACACCTGCTTCCCTCTGGGAGTCTGGGAGTTGTATATGTACCAGGAAGAGGTTGCCTAGATGACCAGCCACCAATAGAAACCCTGCGTGCTGAGTCTCTAAGGAGCTTCCCTGGTTGGAAACATTTTGTGTGTGTTGTCACAACCCAGGGCTGGGGGAATTAGTGTCCTGAGCAACTCCATTGGGAGAGGATCCCTGGAAGTTTGTGTCCCTGGGCTTCATCCCATGGGCTTTTTGCCCTTGATGGCTGATCTCTGTATCTTTTTGCTGGAAGAAATCATTGCCATGTATATGCTGAGACTGAGTCCTCTTAGCAAATCATTGAGTCTGGGTGGTCCTGAGGACCTCCAGCACACATATATACATGACCTTGATTATGAACAGTCCAGCTCTCTGTTGTCCCCATCTCATCACCATTTACCTTAGGGTCTCTGAGATGGAAGCACATTAAGTCCTCAAAGTCATCAATAGGTTCTATACTTTAAGCAAAGCGACATATAACAAAACCAATTTTACCACAGGCTAATTGATATCGACAAGAGTTAAGTTTCTATGGCATCTTATCCACATTATCGCAAAACGACATTGAACAAAATAACGTTATTCAAGGACCTGCTTCTGGCTACAAGTAACCACACAGCCAAATAACAGTGGCTGGAACAAACAGGAGGTTCTTTTCCTCCCTCAGCAAGGCTGCCGGTGTCAGCTCAGCAGCTCAACAATGTTGGCCCAGGTTGGTGTCTCTGTGACTCTGTGGACTGACCCTGAGGTCTCAAGATGGTGTCACGCTTCCCACTGATGCTTCTGGACATGGCAGCCTATAGAGGTGGAGGGAAGGGAGCAGCTGGACCAAGAGCCTCTGACATTTCTGGCAACTTTGACATTTCCTGATGACTCAGGTCGTTGACAAGGGATTTGGGTTATCTATCCCCCCGTCTATCCCCCAAGCTTTCTCTTCTCACTCAGTGCACCCCTCAAATACTGAACATCACTTGGTGGCCTCTGAGTAGCTCCGGGACTTGACTTGGGGCCCTGGGTGGGCATGAGAGGAGCTATGGGTGGTTTGTGGTTCCTCTGGGGATAGAGAGAAGCCCCATGTCCTCCACTCCTAGCAGAAGCCACTAGCTCAGCCTTAGGGTCCATGGTTGCTCCTGCCCTGCCTGGCATGCACTCCAAGCCCTCAACACCTTTACTCCCTGCTTCTGGACAACAACCCGATGTACAGACAGGTGTGGGGCCCAGGCAGTGGCTGCCCTGGGGCGGGGATGGGGGAACCTGGGCGTCCCTGAGGCAGCAGAGTCCAGCAGGCTCATAGGATTAAACCCTGGGGTAAAAGCCAACATTCGCCACCTCAACTTCTCCAGTGCCCCTGGCGCAGCTCCCTGTCATGCTCGCCTCAACTACTGCAGGGTCTCCTGACTGACCCTCCTGCTTTTACCCTTGCCATCTGTTCTTTTCACGGCACCCAGAGGGATCCTCTGCTCAAAACCTTCTGGTGAACCCTAGCCGGTTTGGCTCAGCGGATAGAGCATCGGGCTGCGGACTGAAGGGTACCAGGTTTGATTCCTGGTCAGGGCACATGCCTGGGTTGCGGGCTCCATCTCCAGTGGGGGTTGTGCAGGAGGCAGCCAATCAATGATTCACTCTCATCATTGATGTTTCTATCTCCCTCTCCCTCTCTGAAATCAGTAAATATGTTTTTTAAAAAAGTTCTCAAGGGCCCTGACCGGTTTGGCTCCGTGGATAGAGCGTCGGCCTGCGGACTCAAGGGTCCCAGGTTCGATTCCCGTCAAGGGCATGTACCTTGGTTGTGGGCACATCCCCAGTGGGGAGTGTGCAGGAGGCAGCTGATCGATGTTTCTCTCTCATTGATGTTTCTAACTCTCTATCCCTCTCCCTTCCTCTCTGTAAAAAATCAATAAAATATATTTAAAAAAAAAAAAGTTCTCAAGGTTTATGGCATCTATGAAAACTTTATTAAAAAAAAAAAAAAAGTCCGGTGACTCATGCCTCACTCAGACAAAAGCCCACGTTCTCCTCATGGCCCACAAAGCCCTCCAGGATCAGGCTGGGCCAACCTCATTACTTCCCACACCAGCCTCTGCAACCACCCTTCGGGCACGTTCCAGCCTCAGTGCCATTGCACTGCTTTTTTCTGTCTGGAATGCTGTTCTCCCCCAGGTACCATGGCTCCCTCTCTCACTTCATTCGGATCTTTTTTTTTTTTTTTTTTTTAAATATATTTTATTGATTTTTTACAGAGAGGAAGGGAGAGAGATAGAGAGTTAGAAACATCAATGAGAGAGAAACATCGATCAGCTGCCTCCTGCACATCTCCCACTGGGGATGTGCCCGCAACCCAGGTACATGCCCCTGACCGGAATCGAACCTGGGACGTTTCAGTCCGCAGGCCGACGCTCTATCCACTGAGCCAAACCGGTTTTGGCTCATTCGGATCTTTGTTGATATTTCACAGTCAGGAATGTCTTCCTGGGTTACGACACACAAGGGCCCAACCTTCCACTCCTGCAACGCTATCTCCTGTCATCGTTTTAGTTTTCCTCGCGATGCCCACTTTCAGCTGGCCTATTATAGATTTCTGTTATCTACCTGCTTCCACTAGAAAGCGAGCTTCCCCCGAGCCTAGAACAGTTCCTGACCCACAGTACACACTTCGTAATGTCAATGCACAACTGTAAAACCCTCAAAGTGGTGCCTCTGACAAGGCAGATAGTCAGTGAATGGTTGTTGAATGAGAAAATAAATCAGCACATGCATGAATGAATGAATAAGTGAACCCCATCCCATTTTGATCCCACAGCTGCCCTCTCCCCTCTCCCGCCCCCAGCCGCCCTGGGAGCCAGCCATGGGCATGAACACAGGAACTTTATTTACAAACACAAGGTTGGAGCATGGGCTGGGTGGGAAGGTGGGCATGGCAGGGCCAGGAGGCTCCTACTTCTGCTCCCGCCGCCAGACGATGACCATGCCGCTGGCGTCACTGGAAGCCAGCAGGCTCTCGTCGCAGTTGAAGCTGACATCCAGCACAGGGGCACTGTGGCCCTGCAGCTTGTTCACTGCAGCCTTGGCTGCCCGCTCCACGTCGAAGAAGTGCACGCACATATCCTCGCTGCCCGTCACTGCGCAGGTGGGAAGGAGAGGCCCTCAGCAGGTGTTGCAGGAGGTGGGGTGACCCAGGGGGAAGTCTCTGAGGTCCCAGCACGCCTGGGGGGTAGGGGGACCCATTCCTAGATGGCCCTTTTGGTTCTACATCTAGAGACTGAGGTCTCTCAGCTCTCTGGGAGGTCCATGCCTCATGCCGTGAGGTTTCTGAGCTGGTTGGGGCTCTGTGTTCAAAGTGGAAGGCTGGTAGGGTGGGAGAGGTCTCAGGATGTCATGATGTCTGAGCCAGATCAGCACCAGCCTGGTGTCTGCTTGTCCCCGGCCACCCAGACACCCAACCCTATGGGACTCACCCACACAGGCGCCCTGGCGGAAGGACATGAGGGGGCAGAAGATGCTGCGCACAGGGTGTGAGCTCTGCTCAATGGGGAAGCTCCTCTTCAGCTGCAGGGTCCCCTCGTTGTCCACCACCCTGAGGGAGAATGAGAGCAGGTCAGGCGCAGCCTCAGGCCCCGAGGGGGGATGCGTGCTGTGCTAGTCCGTGTCCCTGTCCCTGCACCGAGTTCTTTCAAGGTTCATGAAATCCAGTCCTGAGACGACTGTGTCAACCTGGAAAGCATGGCTGGTGTGGGGTTTAGTGACCGTTTGGACACTCTATCCAGTGGTTCTCAACCTTCCTGATGCCGCGACCCTTTCATACAGTTCCTCATGTTGTGGTGACCCCCAACCATAAATTATTTTCGTTGCTACTTCATAACTGTAATGTTGCTACTGTTATGAATCGTAATGTAAATATCTGATATGCAGGATGTATTTTCATGGTTCGCGACCCACAGGTTGAGAACCACTGAGAGAGCCTCTGCGCTGTAATTCACTAGTTACTCTTCCCAAGGGTCTCTAAGTGCTCTGGCGCTCAGATGGGCACAGAGAAGAAATGGCTGACTACACTATGGCACCTGTGTACTGTGCACACCACCCAGCTGTTCAAAGGAAGGAACCAAAGCTACTGCAGGTGGTCCATAGGCATCGTTTGGTGAGAAAAGAGAGACGTGGGAAAGGGTGCAGAAGGAACCCACATCCATAAAACAATGACCCTCCTTTGTGGGTGTGTGCGCGCAGAGGACTATGGGAGAGGGAACAAAGTGTGGAATGGAACATTCGAAGTTGTTAACATGCTCAACTGTGGCAGGCAGTGGCCAAGATGGCAGAAACGAGGAAGAGAGAAGGCAGAGGATGGGGGAAAGAGAGCAAAAAACTTAGGAGTACGCTTAAATTAAAAGTTTCAAAGGAGAAGACAAATAAAATAGTAAAATGGCAAGCATCCTGTCAGGCAGTGGTCTTCAGACATAGCTGGATAATACTCAGGGAACTTTTTAACATACCAATGCCCAGCTTGCTCCAGAGCTTCTGAAATCCTTGGCCCCATCTGGCTGGCATGGCTCAGTGGTTGAGCATCAACCTATGAACCAGGAGGTCACTGGTTCAATTCCCAGTCAGGTCAGGGCACATGCCCGGGTTGTGGGCTCAATCCCCAGTGTGGGGCGTGCAGGAGGCAGTTGATCAGTGATTCTCTCTCATCAATGATGTTTCTATCTCTCTCTCCTTTCCTCTCTGAAATCAATAAAAATATACGAAAAAGAAAAAAGAAATCCCTGGCCTGGAGTAGGGCCTGGCCATGACTTTTTAAAAAAATATTATTTTTATTGATTTCAGGATGGAAGAGAGAGAGAGCGATAGATTAATGAGAGAGAATCACTGATCAGCTGCCTCCTGCACTGGCCCTACTGGGGACTGAGCCCACAACCTGGGCATGTGTCCTGACCGGGAATCGAACTGTGACCTCTTGGTTCCTAGGTTGACACTCAACCACTGAGCCACACAGCTGGGTCTGGCCATGACTTTTGAAGCCCTTCAGGTCATTCTAACATGTGGTCCAGGCTAAGAACTGCATTTGAGTAACATGATATATGTGAGGACAGTAAACCTCCCTCCTCAAAAAAAAAAAGGAAAATGGGTCACTGCTCTATGGGGCTCTAGTCCATGTTATGCCTCAGTTTGCTCATCTATAAAATTGACATGATAACAGCACCCACCTCACAGAGCTGTTATGAGGCTTAAAGGAGGTGATATGCATGAGGTGCTTTGAATAGGACCTGGCCCCAGTAACTGCTACCTAACTGCTAGCTACTGCCATTACTTTTTTTTTTTTTAACACATTTTTATTGATTTCAGAGAGAGGAAGGGAGAGGTAGAGAAACATCAATGAGAGAGAATCTTTGACCAGCTGCCTCCTGCACGCCCCCTAGTGGGGATCGAGCCTGCGACCCGCGCATGTGCCCTTGATCAGAATTGAACCCAGGATCCTTCAGTCCACAGACCGACGCCCTACCCACTGAGCCAAACCGGCCAGGGCTGCCATTACTTTTTACTGCTACTACTGAGGTCATCATAATATGAAGATGAGGAGGAGGGGAAAGGGGAGGAGGAGGCTGGACCTCCTCATTAAGTGAAGTAAGCTGGAGGAGGGAGGAGGCCGGAGGAGGGAGACCCACCTGTAGAGCAGCAGCTTGTTGAGGCAAGCATTTATGAGCAGCGAGGGGTCCCGGGCCTCGCGGCTGACCCAGGAGCGGGCAGAGATGCTCGTCACAGGGCTGCCCTCATGTACCACCAGGCGCTTGGCTTTGGTCAGCTTCCCTGCGACAATGGAGGGGAGAGGAGGCAAAAGTAAGGGCGAGGACTGCGTACCAGGAGGGCGGGAGTGCGAACACTCGGATGTGGGCCTGGGGCCTGCCTACCTGTGGCCATGTCGAAGAGGAAGGAGAAAACACTGCCTCGGTCATCCCCTGCCCAGAGCAGCCGGCCAGGGGCATCAAAGGACAGGGCCAGGACACGGCCTGTCAGTTTGCTGGAACCACCCTTCACCTTCTTGCCCGTGGAGATGTTGACGACATGCAGGTTTTGCTTGGCATTCCCCACCTATGGATGAGACCCACAAACCATCATCCTGCTCCCAGCCGGTCCCTCCTTGAGTCTGACCACCGTGGGACTGCTATTAATGGGACCCGCTTCTCTCTGCTAGAGTCTGATTCCAGTAGGGCCATGGTGGGTAGACTAGAGGTGACCCAGGCCCATAATCCTCCTGAGCCAGCCCTTCTGATAATCTGACCAGAGCACACAGCGCGGCAGTGACTACAGGGGTCACAGGACCATCCTAGGCCCACGGTAAGAGCTCCCTTGCTGGTCCTTCCTGGAGCCTGATCCCACTGGGGCAGGGGCTGCTTCTACATCTAAAAGGATCCTGGAGACAGGCTCACTCAGCCAGTTCCCCCTCTACTCCCTCTCACGGCCAAGCCAGACTTCATTTCCTTCCCCCACTGCCCACCCTCTGACTCTCTATCCTAGGGTCGACCCACAATGGAGCTTCCACTGAGACGAGATGAGGTTTCCATCTAGTCATCCTGCTCCACAAGCAGCAGCCCCTGCAGGAAATGGAAGGCCTACTGCTGATGGGACCAAAGGGGTGGCAGACCCCATGACCCTACCCCCTGACTGGTCACCCCTGGTGTCTACCACAGTGAGGCCATCCCAAACCAAGAACTGCATGTCCCTATTCTGACTGGATTCCGTCTGAATCTGACCACCAGGGGACTATGGCGATGGACTAGAGGGGATCCCCCCACATTAATGCCCTAGAACAGCTCTCCTGGCCCAGCACCCCGCCCTCGGCGATGGCGCCCTGGAGCCTGACCACAGTGAGGTTGTTGTTGACCGGCTGGAAGGTGCAGCAGAGGAGTTCAGCGCCATCGGGGTCAGGGATCTCCCGGATGCAGCGGCCGTCGTCAGAGGCCCAGATGCGCATGGTAGCATCGAGTGAGGTGGACACGAGGATGTCATTGGAGAGGGACCAGGCAAAATCGGAGACACCGCGGGTGTGGCCCCGCAGCACACGGAGCACGGTGGGTGGAGCGGGCACCAGTTGACACAGGGAGATGCTGCCATCGAGTGAACAGCAGGCCAGGCGGTGCCGGTCGTCATTGGCGAAGCGCACCCTTGGCACTGCAATGCCAAGGAGCCACTGGTAGGAGTCAGCACACTCACCAGGCGCTTTTGTTTATAAAAGGTTTTGCCAGACCAGTGTGACTCAGTGGTTGAGCATAGACCTATGAACCAGGAGGTCACGGTTCGATTCCGGTCAGGGTCACGTGCCTGGGTTGTGGGCTTGATCCCCAGTAGGGGGTGTGTATAATTTGGTTAAGATATATACATTTTTCTTAAACTATATTTTTATTGATTTCAGAGAGGAAGGAAGAGGGAGAGAGAGATAGAATCAGTGGTGAGAGTGAATCACTGATTGGCTGCCTCCTGCACACCCCCTACTGGGGATCGAGCCCACAACCCAGGCATGTGCCCCTGACCGGATGCTCTGTCCACTGAGCCAAACCAGTTGGGGCTAAAAATATATCTTTTTTTAGAAGGTTCTGACGTGTGAGCTGAGGGCAGGAACCCACCGCACCAGGCACAGTGGCCGCAGCAAAGGGCTTTCCTTGACTGACAAAGGGGGTTGGAACCCCGGAAAGCCTTCTGCTGAAAGTCCCGTGCATCTTAGCAGGTGCGTAATGGACTGCAAGACTTCTGCAACCTCAAAAGGCCTCCACATCTCAGCAAGCACTTTGCAATTACCAAGGTCTTAGCAGTTTGCAAGACTCCCTCTGACCTCTGCAAGGGGATTTCTCTGCAGCAGAGGCTTTGGACTTGTTCAAGTGACTCACGACCCCAGAAGCCTTCTGCAAAGGGCTCTTTTACACTGCTGAGCCCCCTCTTTAAAAAAACATTTTTTTTCTTTTGTTAATCCTCACCCGAGGATATTTTTCCATTGATTTTTAGAGAGAATGGAAGGGAGGGGGAGAGACAGAGAGAGAAACATCGATGTGAGAGAGACACATCGAATGGTTGTCTTCCACACAGCCCTGACCAGGGACTGGTTGTGGGCCCCGACCAGGGATTGGTTGCCTCCCGCAAGCTCCCCAACCAGGCCGGGATGGAGACTGCAACTGAGGTATGTGCCCTTGACCGGAATTGAACGCAGGACCTTTCAGTCCACAGGCTGACACTTTATCCACTGAGCCAAACTGGCTAGGGCTGCTGAGCCCCTTTAGGGTAGACAAAATACCCAAGATTTTGCAGGCCACTTTGCAGAGGGCTTTTAGATTTGTGGAAGGTTTTAAGGGTTGGCAATTTCTCCTTCGGAGGTGGGCCAGACTGCATTCCAGAAAAGGATTCAATGGGTGGTTGTGACAGTTTGGGCAAATTCATGGTGATGGGACCTGCCATCTACTGGCTCACCTGCCTCGTCCACGTGCTGGTCAAAAACATGGTACATGCCCGCAAAGGCGTAGTTCTCACTCAGCGATGTGTCCCCAGCCATGGCTCGACTTGCTTCTGCTGCTGATGTGGGGACCACACTGCCAGGGGGCCTGGGCCCCAACCGAGGGAGGAGGTGAGAGGAGATAGGTTCTGGCATTCAGCCTGCCATTGCCCCATGGCTCCTTTCCTTCTCACAAACCCTCAGCCCTGCGCTGTCCCTGGTGCATACCTGTCCTCATAGACGGCACGATTCATCTGTGCCTGCAGCTGGTAGGAACCTCGGCTGACGGAACGGCGGTGTCCACGGGCCCCCAGGGCCCGAGGATCATCCTCGAAGTCCTGCAGAGAGGATCAGGGTGGGTCATCTTATAAACAGCCCTCAAGAACCTGTGAGGTCTAGAGCCTTCAAAGTATACCCAGAACCAGATCCCTTCCCACCCCGTCCCCTGCCACCACCTTCACCTACCTGTACCATGGTGGCCTCTGCACTAGTTACCCTGCTCCCACCCTTGCCCCGCTCAGGAGATACTCAATAAATGGTCTCTGAACAAAGAATGGCCACCTCCCAGGAAACCACTCAGCTCAGTGTCTTGCTTCACTCAAGTCTCAGATCAACCTTCACCCCCTCAGAGAGGCCTTCTCTCATCATCCCCATCAAAAATAGCTTCCTGCTTGGCCGGTATGGCGTGGCTCAGTGGTTGAGCATCGATCTATGAACCAGGAGGTCACGGTTCCATTCCCAGTCAGGGCACATGCCTGGGTTGCGGGCTGGATCCCCAGTGTGGGGCACACAGGAGGCAGTCAATCAACGAATCTCTCTCATCATTGATATTTCTCCCCCTCTCCCTTCCTTTCTGAAGTCAATTAAAAAATATATATATCTATAATAATAAAAGGGTAATATGCTAATTAGACCAGACATCTTCCGGACGTCATCCTGGACATCCTTCCTGATGAAGCCGGGGCCTGGGGGAAGCCAGCCCGGGTCCCGGGTGCCTGACGGTGGCCGGAAGAGGGAAGCCTGGGTCCTGGGTGCCGGAGGGAAGCCGGTGCCGACAGCCGGGGGGAAGGAAGGCCTACTCTTGCATGAATTTTCATGCATTGGGCCTCTAATATATATATATATATATATACTTCCCTTTGTCTCCCACACCAGTTGTTTTATCCCCCGAATCTGCCTTATTTTTTGCATGTTAGCATGTATCACTATAAGCCATGGTAATTATTGACTTGTTTATCTGGTTTGCTATGATTACTGACCTAGTTATCTTGTTTATTGCCTACTTATCAACCTGTTTATTTATTGTCTGTTTATTAACTTATCTCATATATTATCTCTTTTGCCCTCTATTCATCCTAAGAGCTTAGAGCAGAGCCTTGCGCATAGCAGGTGCTTGACAGGTCTGTTGACTAAATAAACATGGAAGCAGGTGGTATGCACGGCAGGCGGCGTGGAGGAAGCTCACCTCCATGCGGTCGAGAGTAGTGCGGCTGCTGCGGACGATGCTGTTGCTATAGGCACGAGCACTGCCTGGCTCCGAGAGGGGCCCGTAGCGCTGGCCCAATAGCTGCCCACGCAGCCTCAGGTACTGCCGCCGCAGTGCTGGGGGATGCCCAGCCTTGGCATTCTCCCGCAGTAGCTGGCTGCGCCGCCGGATATACTGTGTCCGAAACTGTGGAAACGTTGGTGTGCGGTACGCGTTGTACCTGTGATGGCAGGAGGCAGGCGAGCAGCAGGCACAAGACAGATGGAATCAATCAACTCAGAGGGTAGGGAAGGAGCATGAGGTGTGTGGCAGGGAGGGGTCAGGATGGCAAGTGATCAGCAGTGCTGATGGGGGTTCCTCTGGCAATGTGCAAGGGTGCGTCTACAGTAATAATGAACATGGAGAAGAGGTCACGCGGGGACAAGGAGCGCGGTCTGCAGCTCTGCTGAAGTTGGTATGGGGTGACTGAGTCAGTGTAGACAATGGGAGGGGTCAGTGTGACATGGTGATGGGGGTTAATGTGGGGCAGTGGCGGGGGTCAGTATGAGATGGTGATGGGATGAGACTGGGGAAATGATGGTGGTAAGAGAAGTCTGGCGAACAATGGTGGGAAATAGGATGTCACCAGCCTGAGCTCCATCACCTTCCCCCCACGCCCCCACCCCCGACTCCCGACTCCCCACTCCCGCAAAGGGTCTGATAACACAGCCTCCTTTGCGCATGCCCACATCTGACCGCATTTTCCCAGCATGCTCTTTAAGACCCGCTCTGGCCAGCCCTCGCAGAGGGCAAGCTCGCACACCCTGACACTGACACTGCGCATGTTCACCTCCGGCATGCCCACGCAGCCGCGTAGAGCAAGTTCTCCGCCCAGTCCTCCGCCCAGTCTCACTTATGCCATTGCCCGTGCACCACAGTAACTTCCGCTCCCATGGGATCCGACCCCACGCCTCACCTCGCGTCTACTGCTAAGACCTGCTGCCACACCGCGGCCATTACCCGGCCTCCTCTTCCGCCGCGTCCGCCCGCGGGCGCCTGCAGGACAAGGGCCTGGAATGTCAGGGTCTCAAGTGAAGGGGTCTAGTTCCGCCCCTTCTGCCAGGCGATCGTGGCCATAGACAATGCGTCCCTCCGCGCCGAGATACCGTGAAATCACATCGAGCTGTTAGCATGGTCAGCACTCCAGCCCTGTCCAGGCAGCTCCGGGAAGACTCACAGCAGCGACTCAGACCTCACTCCGCCCCCCCGGTCGCCATAGCAACGCCCCTCCCCCAGCCTAGCAACCCTGCCCGGCCTTCCCCACCCACCTTGCCCCCACCTCCCCCGCCTTCCCTTTTCGGGTCCAAGACGGAGCCCTGGATCAGGGACCACCTCAGGGGCTGCCTCCGGCTCTCCGGCTCGCAAGGCCCCCGGGGCGGCCCTGAGACCGGCGTCACCCTTCCCTACTGTCTCCTCCCTCTCTCAAGCTCCAGGCAAGATGGCTGCCTGCTGCCAGGAAGAGCTGCCAAGCGTAGAAGGAACGGATAGGAATCCTCCCCGAAGTGTGGGAGAACCACGCAGGCGCACTAAGGGACGGTGGCTTCCGGCACAAGGGCGGGGGCTCCGCCCCTTAAATTCAATCCATTCCCACCCCCTACGGGCCCTTTTTTATACACAATAATGTCCAGGGGCAAAGATGCGAATCACTCACTAAAAATCAGAAATATGACTTTCAGAAACAGAAACAGGTTTTTCTTTTCTAAAATATATTTTTGTTGATTTCAGAGAGGAAGGGAGAGGGAGAGAGACAGAAATATCAATGAGGAGAGAGAATCATGGATGGGCTGCCTCCTGCACGCCCCACACTGGGGATTGAGCCCACGCAGACGTAGGCCCTGACCAGAATCCAGCCGGGACCTCCTGGTTCATAGGTCCATGCTCAACCACTGAACCACGCAGGCCAGGCCGATTTTCTTTTAAAGGAGTGGTGTATAAGCTGCTTTTTAGCAGCACAATCTTAGCCAAGCAAGATCTGAAGCATAGAATAAAACCATCACACATGCACAGGCCCCCTACAAAGTTCTCCAGTTCTTAGAGTGATTGATGGGCCCCTGGACATCCCCGGATGAGAAGAGTCTGTTCTATGGGAAGGATGGGAGTGTGTGTGTGTGCGCGCACGGAGGGTGGGGGTGGGGGTGGGGGTGCCCTGGGCTTGATGCTCCTAGGCAACGGTTTGGGCATGAGTCTGCAAATAATTAGGCACAACAATCTCAGGAGCCTATCCGAATCGTCCTTATTTCAACTTCTACCGGAAGCTGCATCTCTATTCATCTTAAAGTGGTCAGGATATACAATTTACAAAGTTGAAATACAAGGTTTAGTAGCTTCCTATTGGATCTTAACATCAACTGCTACAATTCTCAAAATTGTGATTTTTTTACATGATTTTTATCACAAATACCATAATCTGAAAAATGTTCTAAAGCCACCTGAAACAAGGAGACACATCCAAAAGCATATTGCCACCCTGGCCAGTTTGACTCAGCGGTTAGAGCATTGGCCTGTGATCCAAAGGGTCTTGGGTTCGATTCCTGGTCAAAGGCAAGTACTTTGGTTGCAGGTTCAATCCTCCACCCCTGGTTGCAGCATGATGTCTCTCTCTCTCCCCCTCACCCATCCTTTCCACTCTCTCTAAATATCAATGGGAAATATATTCTCACTCATTGGGTGAGGACTAAAATAACATTTTTTAAAAAGCATATTGCCCTTTTTCTGTGTGTACTAACAAAAATAGACTATACTGCATTGTATTGATTTGGCACATCCCTTGCCATGTACCTAAACTACCGGTGTCTTTCCAGGATATTAAATACCCTTCTATTTCATGATTGCTGAAGAATAAACTATTTCACTGCACAAATGTGTAACCGCTAACATTTATTGGAGAATGTGCTGGACACCGTTGAAGGTGATTTATATGTATCAATCCATTTAATCCTAATAACTGAATGTTGTGGATATTATTACTATCCCCATTTTACAGATGACAAAATCTGAAGCCCAAGGAGTTAAAGGGTGACATTTTTATTGAACTGATACCCTATTTGTGAAAGCATTGGATTTTTCCCCCACATCCATTTTACCACAAAGGGTGCTGTGATCAATGCTTTTCCCATTCACCTGGACCCTCTCTGGGCAGAGCCTTGCCCCTTCATCCCACCACTCATCTTTTAAATAACCCTGATGGAAAAAGAAGAAATAATTTTTTAAAATATATTTGTGTTGATTTCAGAGGGGAAGGGAGAGGGAGAGAGAGAGATAAAAACATCAATGGTGAGAGAAAATCATTGCTTGGCTGCCTCCTGCACGCCCCATACTGGGGATCGAGCCTGCAACCCGGGCATATGCTCTGACTGGGAATTGAACCATGACCTCCTGGTTCATAGGTTGATGCTCAACCACTGAACCATGCTGGCTGGGCAAGAATTTTTTTAAAAAAGAAACATGGTGGGAAGAAATCACAAGAAAGTCAGAGATGCCAGGGAGACTGACTGTCTCACTGCCAGAATTGATTCTTTTTTAAAATATATTTTTATTGCCAAAACCGGTTTGGCTCAGTGGATAGAGCGTCGGCCTGCGGACTGAAAGGTCCCAGGTTCGATTCCGGTCAAGGGCATGTACCTGGGTTGCGGGCATATCCCCAGTAGGAGATGTGCAGGAGGCAGCTGATCGATGTTTCTCTCTCATCGATGTTTCTAACTCTCTATCTCTCTCCCTTCCTCTCTGTAAAAAATCAATAAAATATATTTATTAAAAAAATAAAAAATAAAATCTATTTTTATTGACTTCGGAGAGGAAGGGAGAATGAGAGAGAAATATTAATGATGAAAATCATTGATGGGCTTGGTCAAGCCCACAATCCTACTGAATCAAATCATGACCTCATGGTCATAGGTTGATACTCAAGCACTGAGCCACGCTGGCTGGTCCTGTTAGTTGATTTAAAAACTTTTCCCAAGGGAAAAAACAAACCAACAAAAAATAAAATAAATAATAAAAACTCTTCCCAATAGCAGATCCATCTGCCAGAGGTAGATCTGGTGCAGAAATAATGTGAATTAGAATGACCACAGCTGCCTCCTGCATCTGTTATGTACCCTGCATTTTTTCAATTTTTGTTCTTTTCTAAGCATTTACACACTCTCATTGGCTTAAAAACAGGTTTTGAATAATAAGCTAATGATAGAAAGCACTTTCAGTTTTGGGAAAGAGGCAGAGTTTATCAGCATGAATGGCAGGTCAGTGGGTGGGGAAAGGAGGGTCTCAGGACTGGAGGTATCAAGTCATGAGAATCTATTCCTGAAGGTTGTGACATTGATTATAATCATGACCTCTAGAAAGGAAGCTCAAGCCCACAGAGGACCACAAGTCCTATTCATTCTAATAGGATCAGGGTTATTTCACTGTCAGAATGACAGTTGAGGGTCCTAGCCAAATGAACAAACTAAAACAGATTTGGACAGAAAAGACAGGTAAGCCAGAGCTGTTTGAAGATCACACCACATCACAGTAGCGACTTAAATGGTGGCAGAAACAGGCAGGGGCCATGTCTGTTCCGGACTCCTCCTTCCTTCATGTACCTTCTGCCTATCCAGCCCCCAGAGTTTAAAAATGCAAAGGTGAGCATTGAACCACACTGGCTGTGTCCACTTTTCATTACTAACAGAGGCTAAAATGAAACCTGAAGTTGGGCCCCATCTTCAGGAACAAACAGGAGCATGATTTGAAGGAAAGCCTGGGTCGTTTGGGGTGCCAAGAATCAAGGCCAGAGAGTGAAATTTGGGGAGACATGGAGCTGAAGTATAACGAGTGCAGACACCGAGTCCTTATTCACTTATCTCATCCCTGAAGTTTCTTCCTAAATGGGACAAGTGGGGGTTGAGACATAAAGTCATAACTTAAAATGTTATCTTTTCCTCATGGGGAAACATTTGCCTCTGAAGCCAAAGTTCTCACAATCCTCAAAGTCTTTTTTAAAAAGTGTTTTATTGATTTCAGAGAGAGGGAGAGAGAGAAAAAAAATCAATGACAGAGAGAATCATGGATGGGCTGCCTCCTGCAAGCCCCACACTGGAGACCAAGCCTGCAACCCCGGCATGTCTCTGACTGGGAGAGAACCGTGATCTCTTGGTTCATAGGTCGAGGCTCAACCACTGAGCCATGCCAGCTGGGCCCATTCTTGAAGTCTTAATGGTGATATAACTCTCCACAGCCTGAGTCAGAAACAAGCTTCCTGCAGTTGGGAAAAGCCTCCCAGACCACTTGAACACCCCTGGCAAGTTGAAACAGGGAGCCAGCCTTCCAACACATAATCAATCAAGCCCCTGCTAGGTACCAGGCACTGGGGCAGCAGCAGTAACTCAGACAAATGGTCTCCAGTCTCATGGAGCTGCCATTTTAGCTGGAAAGATAAACAATAACGACAATCATTCATAAATCGGTACGTACTATCATTAAAATAGTCCCCTTAGTGTTGCTAAGCTGTGGAGGGGGAAGAATGATAAATAAATTTAAACTGGAACCTGAATAAAAAGGAGCAATAGATACAAAGCTCTGAAGGCTGAACGTGTGGGCAAGGCCAGTGAGGCCAGTCAGTGACTGATTCCCAAAAGGGGAGAATCACTTTGCAGGGCTAGAACTGGGGCTCCTCTGCTCTTAAGATCACAATTCCTGCCCGGCCAGCATGGCTCAGTGTTTGAGCATTGACCTATGAAGGTCATGGTTTGATTCCTGGTCAGGGCACATGCCCAGTTTGGGGCTTGATCCCCCGTGTGGGACATGCAGGAGGCAGCTGGTCAATAATTCTCTCTCATCATTGATGTTTCTATCTCTCCTTCTCCCTTCCTCTCTGAAATCAATATAGATATATTAAAAAGCATATATAATCTATCTATATATAAAACCCTAACATGCAAATAGACCAACTGGTGGAATAACCGAACCGGTTGCTATGATGTGCACTGATCACCAGGGGGTGCACACGGAACATGATGGAAGTCAGCAGCAGGTGGCAGAGCATGGAACACGCTGCGGTGGGATGATGGAGCAGGTGAGTGGGGGGCGTAAGAACAAGGTGGGGCGCTGGTCACTGTCATCGGGGCGAGCCTCTGGTGGTTATTGAAAATTCTTTGCTCCCGCATGCTGTGGTCCTGCCTGGCACTTGTACCCGCTGCCAGCACCAGAGCTGCCACTGGCACCTGCTACTTGTGCCTTGTGCCACCCCCAATTGTTCAGCGCCATCAGCAGGTATGAGCGGCGGTGGTGGTGGGAACAGGGCTGCTGGCAGACAGGGGGCCAACTGGGGCTGCAGCAGGAGGGGGTAGGCAGGGGCAGTGCCCCTCTGCCCACTGCAGCCTTGCTGCCCACAGTTCCTTTCAAGGTGCATGAATTCATGCACTGGGCCCCTAGTGTGTGTGTATATGTATATAAGTAAATCTATTTTTATTTAAAAAAATATTTTTATTGATTTCAGAGAGGAA